GAGAGAGAGAGAGAGAGAGAGAGAGAGAGAGAGAGAGAAGGGAGAGAGATGAAAAGTGAAATTTCATTGGAGAGAAAAGGAATGACAAATTCAAGTGTCAGGACAAAACTTACCACAGGAGAGACAGTATAGGATTTTTTTTTTTTCAAGGGATATGAACATTTCAAGGTTGCAAGTCAGCCCTTTTGGTAAATATTTTACTGTAACTACAATCATTCCTTTAAATATTTTTAATATGTCCTTTAGAGAAAATAAAAGCAATCCAGAATAATAGTGAAATCAAAACTGTTCTCATAAAAGACATCCTCAGATCATGTTAGTCACAGTGGGCACACTGAATCTAATGCTTGACACCAGATTTCAACACTAAAGGAAGTGCTTTGTGCTGTCAAGCCAAGATTGTTGACAAACTAGACTATGGGGGTGACACTCAATACACTACATAATGACATGCAGACATTTTTACTCATTGGGCATAAGCATATTGCCCTGAAAAAAATCCACTGAGATGATTTTGCCAATGGGTATTTATCAATTCAATCAAACTCACCTTCAACATAGCCTAAGAAATTGGCTATGAAAAAATGAGAAAACATCTCTTATCAAACTGAAAAAGCAAAATGTAGCTGTATATACAAGAAAATATTGCCTAAAATCAGAAAACAAAGATTCATTACACTGAATTTCAGGAGACAAAAAGTTTGCCCCTGACAAGTATTCAAACTCAGAAAACAGATACATTCTGTAACTAATTTGGCATATGCATAAGTGGGTAAGAACTATAAATGCTTGAAATCAATCATAATGATGTTAGTGTCTACCTGTTTCTTCTTTTACCCACTGCATTCAATCACTCAAACATAACTATTTGCTGTGTCAAGATTCACTCAAAGTTATATTTGGTAATTTGAAAGAGTTAATCTTTTCACCAGTGTTCAAAACTAGCTACAAACTGTCACAAAGAATAATGAATAATCAATGAACCTCCTCAAAGAGAAGAACTTTACAGTCTTCACATCAAATCTTAATAAAGCAAGGCAAAGAAGCTGGTCTTTAACAGCTGGTTTTCACATACTTTCCTATCTAGGTGATGGAAGGGTAGAATGGCTCATGCTTGGCAGGCAACTTCAAAACTTGATGAACTGGGGGGAAAAAAAACCCCCCCCCCCGGGGGGGGGGGGGGGGGGGGAGTGTCCTGATTTGGAGTGAAGGAAAGCTAGTTTTCCATAAATTCTGTTTAAATAAATTCTGATCCTGAAGCAATATTATATAACAATCACTTCTATGATTCACTAGGTTTTACCCACAGCATTCAAGAATTTTAACTTCTGTACAAAGACAAACACTTTTATTCCCAGAATTTAGGTGCCCAAGGCAGGAGGATTACAAGCTGCAAGACAGCACCATGACAGGAAAAGAGGAAAAGAAGGAAGGTTATTCATTCAGCGATACCATATGTCGACTAAGGATCAGAAACACCTAGCCAGATGAGTCACATGCTGCATCGACCAACAGAAGCAAACATGAAAAGCTGTCTCTATAGGCAGATACATCATAAGAGGAAAGCCCAAAGAGGTCCCCAAAGCCACAATGCCAAATTTTACAAGGCACTCCTCTAGCAAAACACTGGGAGAATAAACAGTCAAGAAACTTATCTTCTGAAATATTGTTCTGACAAGGCTTTTGATTCTTGTCACTTAAAAGGACTTCATGGAAACATAATGAATTACAATAATACGTGACAAAAATCTCTGTTACCTGGGGGAAAGATTCTGTAAGTATTTCGTGGTTTTTTAATGACTGGCTTTAAAGACTAGAGAACATCATTTCTCATTATTTCAAGGTAATAATTCAACAAGTTGTCCATTCCATCACACTACAGATGGATTTACACAAGATCTTTCCCTTTTGAGTCCTCCTTTATCTTCATCATCTACTAAAGGGAGGAGGAAGAAAGCTGTTGTGATTAGTTCAGCTGGGAAAGGAGCTGGCACATCATCAGTAACTTCCTCAAGCTGGATTTTAATCCACCTTTTGTAAAACTGAAAAAACTATGAGATCCCAGTGTCCTGTGGCTGCTGTGATGAGCAGAAATGCATGTAGTCGTCTCCTCCAACTTACCCCCAAACACCCTTTTGCTCCAATTAAACTCCATAGAAACAATGTTTCTCAAGTCACACTCTGAATATAACATGTGGGAAAGTAGTAGGCTCTTAATAAACACTTCTGTATGTGTGTTTGTGTACAGTACATCCTGTGTATGTGTTTATATATACACACAGGTATATGAGCACATGCATGTGAATACCACAGGTTCATTTCAGGCATCTTACACAATAACTTTCCACCTTATTTGCTGAGACAGGGTCTCTCACTGAAGCCAAAGCTTTCCACTTTGTCTAAACTGCTTGGTCAGAAAAATCATTCAGATACTCCTTGTTCTGCATCCTCAGTGCAAGAATTACAGCCATGCAGGAACACACCCTACTTGTTACTGGGGATCCAAACTCAGGTCCCAAACTCAGATTTGTATGCCAAACACTTTACCAACTGTGCCATCTCCCCAGGGTCCTAATAAATATTCCTTAATCAATGTATTTTGCAAGGATAAATTAAGCTGGAAATGCAAGTTGCTCATTTTATAAATACACTTATTAAATTCTCTAAGTGCAATCTCTTACTACTAATAGGCATGCTAAAACAAAGGAAATAAAACTAAAACTTCCTTGTTTCCATCGCCAACTCTCTCTTGCATTTCTCACGTGTTACAGAACATGACCTGGTAAAGAGCTAGAGCACAGAAAAGCCCTCAGTTCGCATCCATCCTTGAGACACAGTCTAAATAACACTGGAAGTGAAAACCCATCAAATTAAAAACAACAAAGATTTTGTTGTGGTTTATTCTTATTCAGTTCCATATCTTAAAACCTAAGTCTTTTATTTTAAATATTTCTATGGTCAAAGACATTCGCATCATATATTTAAGCTTCAAAATGTCCAAAAAAATTTCTACTCACAGAGACTATTCACAGAAATTATTTTTCATGCCGGGACCAACAGCTGCAATAGTCCATCACGGCTTTTCAACTAGTTACACATTTTATAGACATATATATGCATACATATATTCTATGCAAAGACAACTATTCCTTAGACAACAAAAGGTCAACACTCAGCTTTCTCAGACAGATTTTCCAACTCTGACTACTCAAATATTCACTGACAACTTCGCTTAAATTTCTTCAAGAATATTCTGGTTAAGACAGCAACCTAATTAAGGGCTAGCATAAAGCCTCTATGAAAACTGAATTCTCTCCTTTAAAGTTTCAAAATTAATACTACAGGTAACATTTCTTTTATTGTTTTGTGTTTTAACAAATACCTCCTACATTCCAGGAATCTAGAAATTTTAAATGAGATCAGTTTATCATCATTACTTTGTCTTTTAAATTTTTCACATAATATTTCCCACAGGCATTAAATACAACCCAATCTGAAAAAGTATAAAATTAATCTACAGAAAATCATATGGTATTGACATCATATAAAAGATACCCAGTTAAATTTGTATTTGACATAGTTTTTGTTGTTTTGGTTTTTGTCAGTTAAGTCTAGAATATTAACTTTACCGTGCACCCTATGTTCCTTTGCTTGTTAAATATAGCAACAGTAATCTATGGGCCCCTACATAATACACGATTCTCAAAAGAGAAAAAAAAGGACAAGTGGTAGGCCTTACTGTGTCATATCAGAATCGGCAAGCATTTTAACAATATGAAAAGTGAAAGTAAAACTTAATTATGTTAAAGTAATAGATTTTTATCATGATTGTTCTTTCACAAAATATGTAAGTCCATGAGATGTTTTATTTGGCAATAAAAAAGTCTATTGAAACCTATTCTTCATCCACATAATTGATATTCTTATTTTGGGATAATCTTTTATTTTGTCAGACTATAAAATTATTACATCACATAATCCTGTCCTTCAATTCCTTCAAGGGCTGCCATGTCCAAACCCCTAGCTCTCAAATTCATGACTTGTTTTTCTTTTGTTTTACAATGTCTGTGTGCATGTGTGTGTGAGTGTATGTGTATATATACACTCACATACAGAAATGTATGTATTCTGAAATATACAATTCATCCAGCTAAGTCTGTATAATGTTACTTGTATGTATAAGTTTTCAAGAGTGATCATTGGGTATTGGGTTTTTACCTTGAGAAACTGGTAGATGGACTAAATAAAAATGGAACATTAGTGATAGTCATTTAATTAAGTAACATGCCACAGTGACTTCCAAGGGATAAATTACCTCACAGGATTACTGGTCAATGATACGCGGAGTGACTCCAGATATGTGAAAAGTCTATCATCAGTATAGCCCATTTTCAGCTCATGGATAAATTCCTGAGGTGAGATCTGCCGGCTACTTCTAAGACTTCCCTGTAAAACAAATCAAAAAAGTAAAAAAATTTTACTTGTGTTCCATGAAAAACATCCATAAAATATGAAATTCATCATACCTAGTAATAACTAACAAAAATACTGTTTTGAGGCAAAATGTCCTAACTAAAACTCTATAAATCCATAAATGGCTTTATTCACAAATGGTATTAAAATGTACACTAAATGTTTTAAGAATGAAAATGATTGCCTTTTCAAATGTAACATGTCATGGAGAATTATTAAGAATATAGAACTAGAAACATAATAAAGTAATATTTAGGCATATTCACATATTAAAACTCAATAAAATATGAACTTATTAAGACAAGCACTCTGAGTAATAGAGAAAGAACTGTTAGTCATTGGTTCATTCAACTGTCATTGGAAATTTAGGCAATGTAGACTCACAGATAATTACAACTTGAGTTGAGAAGAAATGGAACCCAAAAAAATGTCTTCAGTGCAATCTAATTCCTGCAGCAGGATCAAGCCCTCAAAAGACAAATGCCTAACCTGACCTAGCAAACAAGGAAAGCCAAGTCAAGAACAGGAGAAATGGATGGCAGCAAGGAGACAAATAGCAAACCAGAAAGGATCTACCATCAGAAAGGAGCAACCAAGAGAAATGGCAAACAGCCTGCATTGCTTTGGGGATCTAAGGACATATCTGACCAACAACTCATCAGGAGGTTCCCACACCTGGCTGGCAATGGATCTTGAATGTGGCATACCTATAGCTTCTAGGGTGAGTATAAACCCATGTGCAAGGTAATTACAATGAAACTTTGTAGGGAGAAACCCTGATTAGAGGTACCACTGACCATGCCTGCTTGGGTCTGGTCAAGGTACCGCTGACCATACCCACTTGGGCGTGGTCAGAGTTATGTAACAAGGGTTTAAGAAGGAGGTAGGCACGCACGAGGAGCTCTTTCGCCTGGCTGAGCTGACTGGGAAGCATTTCTGGGTCCATCCTGCTCAGGTACAAACCTGGTCACTGGCTCCCTTGCATGAGTACTTTTCCCCAATAAACTACTGTTATCAACCTATTTCTGACTCCACTTTGTAATCATCTATAAAATTATTTTGTGGAAAAACGTGGTTTTTGTATGTGTGTGTATACATATGAAGCTTATAAGACATGATTCTAATATACTTTATCAAACATCCTTAATGTTAGTTATCCCTCCCACCAACCACCTTTTCTGCCCTACACCCTCATGTCCCACTGCCTTATAAG